TATGGATGCACAAAAATACCATTTGGTATATGTACATTTTCAATGTCCATTCATCAGTTGATTGACATCTAGGTTGATTTCATTCCATAGCTATATTGTGAATACGCAGCAATGAACATGGATATGCGGCCACCTCTGTGGTAGGACACAGTCCTTTGGTTATGTGCCCAGGAGCGGTGTGGCTGGGTCATATAGTACTTGTACTGTTTTTGAGAACACAGCCCCTCACCCACCAGCACCCCGCACAGATATCCATAGGCCTGCATTGGTTTACACTCCAGTCAACAGTAACTAAAAGTTGCCCCTCCCACATCCTCACCAGCATTTGTTACCATTGGCTTTCTTGGAGACAGCCATTCTGACAAGAGTAAGATGGATCTCAAAGTAGCTTTAATTTCCATTTCCCTAATGGCTATGAATGTTGACCACTTCTCAAAACAGGCATTGGCCATCTGTATTGCTGCCTTTCAGAACTTCTGTTTAGTTCCTTAGCCAGTTCTTTGAGTAGGTTGTTTTACTATTGTTTAATTTTTTGAGTTCCTTATATATTCCAGATATTCATCTTCTGTCAGTTGACAGAACATGTGTCAGCTTGCAAAGATTTCGCTGCCTCTTCACTCCATTAGAGTTTTGTGGGTTTTTTAGACTGGGTCTTCCTGTGTTTGTCCATAGTGTGCATGCTCCTGACCCTGGTTATTTTTACCCTAATTTATTTCAACCATTCTGTATCCTTACGTTTCAAGTGAATCTCTTGTAGTCAGAATGCATATGTATATATGTACTTTAAGAGCTCCTATAGCTAAATAATTTAGTCCATTTATATTTATTGTGGCAATAATACATTTGCTTTGGTTTTATTCATCTACTTTGGAGCAATATCCTGGTTTTTCTGGATAATTCATATAAATGCTGTAGCTTTACCTACTTTACCCTTCCAACTGATGGCTGAAACACATTTTATTAACTTTGAACAGTTGGTATACACACCTGACTCAATAAGATCTAAAGTGAGCTAGAATCTATAGAAGTGGGCGATTAGATTCACAGAGACATGGGCATTGTTCAGAACCGGAGCTGGGTTTGAGGATCGCCTAAATCAAAGCCCACGATCACCAATGGCTCACGCAGTTTGCAAAGTGCCTTTCTACATGGATGGTTCTCTGTTGTATAAATAGCAACAGGGATTAAAACAAACCTACAGGTATCAATGTTTGTCTGGCCTTGGTTCTCAGAACCATAAGTCTTTCTCCTCAGCAGTCACCAGAGCCATAACGAGCACGATGCCTCCTGGGAACCTCAGGGTTCCCGAGTCAATTCCACATCTGTCCACATCTGAGTCTGCAACAATGAACTGAATTCTCCCTGCATGACCAGTTAATCTTCGTCTGTTATCACCTTTGTGATTTAATGAGAGGAGAAGCTTAGCTAACTTAAGCCACACGTGGAAGAGAATAAAAAACCCTTATATTAATCTGACCCAGACCACACCCAGATTCAACTAGTTTAATATAACCATGTACTCTTATCTCTAAGAAGTTGGGTCATAATTTTACACTTTCCAAGTGCTTTTTGAATATTGCTTTTTGTGTGGTGATCTAATAAAACTTTCCTGAAGATCAGAGTGCAGAGTTAAGCCACTAGTTAGCCACACACACACACACACACACACACACACACACACACACTAAGCCACTAGTTAGCCATAGAGGACAGGCAGTGGTGGCCATACCTTTAATCCCAGGACTCAGGAGACTGAGGCAGATGAATCTCTGTGAGTTCAAGGCCACCCTGGACTACATGAGAGTGGGTCAGTCTAAAAGAGAAACAGAGCTCACACATTTGATCCCAGTCACCTGGGATGACATGCCTTTAATCCCAGCACTAGAGAGGAATATAAGGGAGTCCGAGGTTTGGTGGACACAGACTACATTCTGAGGAATTGTGGAGACAGGATCACCCATTTTGGTCTGAAGTAGAGGTAAGAGCTAGGTACCGGCCACGTTGCTTCTCCGATCTTCAACTTGAACCACAATATCTGTCTCTGGGTTTTCATTATTCGTGCTACAGCTTTTGTTCAACACTTCGGAGGGTTCTGTGTGGCAGGTGGGGTGGGGATCATGAGAGGAGACGTCTCCAGAGTGGGTGGCACATCTATGTTCCCGTTTGTGCAGCTCCAGGGCTGTACGGAAGACACTTGTTATTCCACATGGAAAAATGTCTTGAGCTCCCAGGCTAGGATATAAACTTCCCACTGTTTCATCTGTCTGATCCAGGGGCCACAGCTAACAAGAGTTTGTCAGCCTTTAACGCGGACATTCCGATAGGTTTAGTGTTCCTCTCACGTTTGTGTCAATGAGAAACCACGAAAATCATCTGGCTTTCCGAAAATCTCACCAGTGTCCTAAATCCAGGAGATGACTTGGTGGGAAATGATGAGAGGGCGCTCATTGGATTTGATATTCTCCATCTTCACACAGAAAATCCCCTCCCCGGATCGCCACTAAAACAGACACTAGTAATGAAAGGTAGGGTTTGCAAATCTGCATTATTCTTAATGGCTGATTTCACTTAGTTAATGGAATCATTTATGAGAGTGGTTTGCATAAATCCCCAGGGACACTTGTTAAGGTTATGGTTTTGCTACACCATATACTTCCTTTACTGATACCCTTTAGCAAACAATGGGTTGGCCAAAGAATTCTGGAGTCTCCACTTCTTAAAACATAGGTAAATTGTAAATAAAATTAAAAATAAGGGGCAGGTATATCTCTGTGAGTTCAAGGCCATCCTGGTACACAGAATGAGTTCCAGGACAGCCAGAGCTACACAGAGAGAAATCCTGTCTCAAAAAAACAAAAAAGGTATTTCATTTCCCCGTCCCACACCCCCAGACTCCAGATGATTCATAAGTCTACCTGCCACAGCCATGAGCTCCATAGTGAAGCCAGGCTTATTTAAGGAGTCAGCACGTGACTTTCAGCATCCAGGTGCAAATGTGAACTAAGAGGTTAGAAGAAGGAGCATCTGAACGGTGCAGCCATCCTGTGACTATCCCACTTAGAGGAGCAGGCCAAGGAGAGAGGTGTGGCCCTATATGCTTCATTTCTCGCTGTGTTTCAGAAGGAGGGACCCCTGGGGGCCTGCGGGGGACTGGCCAAAGCCATGAGTTGGTGAAGCTTCTGAGGGGGTGACACCTACACTGCATGGCTTTATCCATACATGGAGAGAACATTAGCATAATCCTTAGACACAGCTGGTACCTCCCACCCTATCCAGCCTTCTGGTGCATCTATTCCTCTTCATCTCAATTGATGGAAGCAAGAACACAGGCAAGTACAGCCAAATCCATGCCTAGCACTTAGAAAACAACCTAACAGCCACTCCTGACTGGGACTGAAGAGGGAGGGCCACCCTTGAAATGAAGCTGACCCACACCGTTGGAAATGCAAGCATAAACCGCCACTGAAGAAAACCCGAGATGGGGAAGTTCTACTCCCCTAAGATTGGCAATGCCAGTGGTGGCCATTAGAGTGTGCTAATTATTTCCTGGATAGCAAATTGAGTACACAACTTAGGAAGTATGGAAAATGCAATCAGAAGCCACTGCTGGAAGAGACCCTGAGACAACAAGGAAGTTCTACTCCCCTAAGATTGACAATTCCAGTGGTAGCCATTAGACTGTGGTTATTGTTTCCTGGATAGCAAGTTAAGTACACAATTTAGGAAGTACTGGGTATAAAAATAAATGAGAAATACATGATCGCTTAGTTACATTGTTAAGAAGGGGAGCCTGTGAGCTAACAGAGTGACACATGAAGTTGTGAAGTTCTTTACATCAGAGGGGATCCAGGGAGCCACGGTGCAGTCAGTGGTCCAGTATATGTTAAATTAGTATGCAGAGCGGAGTGGTGGTAGGAAATGCCTTTAATCCCAGCACTTAGGAGGCAGAAGTAAGCAGATCTCTGTGAGTTCAAGGCCATCCTGGTCTACAGAGCTAGTTCCAGAATAGCCATGGCTACTCAGAGAAACCCTGTCTTGAAAAACCCAAAACAAATTTCACTGTCTTTGTAGTATTAGAATTTTCTTTTCCTAAATGGTTGAGCAAATATGTGACTTAAAATTTAACTTTCTTTGGTTTTGTTTTCAAATCCCCAGTGTCAATAATTAATACATTTTACTCTATTATGAATGCATATCTAGTGTATATATATGTATATGTATATATAGTGTTAGAGCTTTATAAAATGTTGTGTGATAGACTTTGTGTTATAAGTACATATCATATTAGAAAAATAATTAAGATGAATATGATCTGGGTACAAGGACAGACAGACCTGACATCCCTGTCTTGTGGAAGGCAATGAAACCAGCAGTGGCCAAACACAGCTTTCAAGAGTTCTGTCTCAGAAAGTGTCCCAGGCACAGTCCTTGTTCTTTAAAAATGTCCCAAGCCCCTGTCTCTGCCTTCTTCCCTTCCTCCAGCAAACGTATTAATCCTTTGTTGCCCCTGCTGCACCCTTGGCTCACAGATGCCCAAATGCCCAGGCCATCTGCGCCCTCTGCCCACTGCAGCTTGGCAGTATCTGCTCAAAACAGTGTGAGGGTGGAGAGCAGGACCTCAGCCTCAGCCCTTGGCTTCTGTGGGTTTCAGCCAGACCCAGGTGTTATTTTAGTATAATTACGGTATTTAATTTGAGGATGCATGTGTACCAGAAGGAGGAACCAAGGCCTAATTTTTCCTCTTGACCAAATGATTAAATTTGAAATTTAAAAAAAAATCTAGCTTATTGAAAAACAGTATCCAATTGGGAAGAGAGAACTGGCTGGAAAATCTCTCCCAGGCAAGGGACCATCCCTCTTCTATACCACCCAACTCTAGGCCCATTCACTTTGGGTATCACGTGAGCAGTCCGTGGCCCTGCGTGATCCTTCCCTTCCCGAATACGTCCATCATACCTTTACTGAAGAACATTCTACAGGTGTGTTTCATTTTTTTTCAGTCCTGCAAGTCCCACCACCGGTCGCCACTGAGCCATGGCTGAAGGAGAAATCACCACCTTCTCAGCACTGACCGAGAGGTTTAATCTGCCTCCAGGAAACTACAAGAAGCCCAAACTGCTCTACTGCAGCAACGGGGGCCATTTCTTGAGGATCCTTCCGGATGGCACAGTGGATGGGACAAGGGACAGGAGCGACCAGCACAGTAAGCTGCTATGTGAATTGCACCCACACTTTCCTGCGTCTTCCCTAGTCCAGCATAGGAGGACAGCAGGGACTGGGTACAGATACCCACTTTCCAAGGCTCTTGTAGACAGAACGCATGCAGAAGTGAGATAACATACATGTACAAAGGGGCTTTAGAAGACGGGGAGCTATGGGCTACCGCTTAGCTGATGGCACCTTACAGCACCTTTTAGAGGAATCCTCTGTTGACCTGGTATAACCTATGCTAGGGTTCCATCACTGCACACCCCACTCCCTTTCTATAACCTAACAGAAGATCAGGCCCTCAAGCCAGACAAGGGCCTGCTCATCCCTGATGGGAAGAACCTAATGGTCAGGGACGGGAAATCTTGCACAAAGATATGGGCTCAATTTCAAGTTAACAGACTCTCCAGGTGATGTCTCCACTGGGCTTGATTTGAAAATCCCCATCTTCAGCCATAGCCTAACACATCATAAATTGTGCAACTTTCCTGCAGCGAATTGTGCAGATGTGGCCGGGGTATGCTGAAGGGGTCAAATCATTCTCCAGACGCTAATGGGGCCAGAGATGGGAGCCATAGCATGAGACGCTGATGACTCTGGGCTTTCAGACAAGGTTGACAAATGGAGGCGTGGCTTAGGGAAAACAATCTACCTGACCAGTACTTCTAGTGTGTGTGTGTGTGTGTGTGTGTGTGATCAAAGCCTCTGCATGCTGTGCACCCACACACACACCCTTGCGCGCGCGTGCATGTGATATTAGGTGTCTGCTTTCTATAGGAGTCAGAGATTCTCTGAGCACGACCAGGGCATTAGATGCTGTGGTGAAGTCAAAAGTCTGCCCCCGGGTAGGGCAGCAGCAATCTCAAGAGTCACACACGCTGCAAGCAGAGAGACACAGGAAGGCACAGGTGGGAAGAAGCCTTGGGACTGGCTTGACGCCCGGTGTAAGCACCAAACTCAGTGCGGTGATGGCTTCTGAGCTGCTCCTCTGTTCAGTCCCTGATGCATACGTGACTGGAATGGGTGTCGGCGTTGTCCCGCCTTCCCCCAGAAAAGTGGGTGCTAGGGCTTGCCGCTGGTGCAGGCTTATGGTTTGGGGGTTTGTTTTGATAACCTGTCTTCAGATGGGCCTCCTACATGTTTTCCATTCTATGAAAAATAGGGACCCAGAACAAACTATAAATAGAAGTTCTAGAACATTAAAAATAACCAAATTTGGGCTGAGTCTGTGGCCCAGCTGAGAGAGTGCTTGCCTCACATAGGAGGCCTCGCCAAACATAAACTGGACACGGTGTTATCCATCTGTAACCTCATCACTCGGGAGGTGGGGGGACGAATAACCCGAGGCAAAGTCATCCTACAGCGACACGGTTTGAACTGAGCTTAGAATAAAGACCCTGTCTCAAAGTGAACTGAGTTCATTGTACCAGGCATGGTATACAACTCATGTGTCCACCCACACAACCGAGGGGAGCAAGCTTTAGCCTCTATGAGTTTTAAGTGTTTCTACTAAGTCTTAACAATTTTCTGAACTAATGGGGGATTTTCCAGTTCCCAAGATCCAAACCAAAGGTGATCGTGGTGACATGTTTCTTGAGGTTTGCCTGGTTTGGAAACCTTAAGCTTCGGGGTAACAAGAGGCTATAGTTACTGGGTTTCTGGACACATGTCACGTGCCTTCACTCGGATGACTCTGTCATTAGCAGTATAGGATGTTGCTGGGTCATAACACTGGGGCAGAGCTGTAAGGAAGTACGTGCCCAAGGGATGCTGGGATATTTGCTGTGTGATCTTGGTGAGAGCACTGCTTACAGATTTCTTTGGAGAATTAAATGAAATAACTGTTGTTGGCACAGTGCCTGCCTGGCCCAGGGTAATGGTGGCCAATATTGCTGCTACCTCCCCGAGTCCCCAGACTCACTGCAGCCTATGGACATGCAGTGTGATGCTAAGGCGCTTCTCTTGGCTGGCGAAGGGCTGGAGCCTGGATTCAGGCTCCTCTGCCAACATTCAAAGCAGTTCTACAAGATATTGTTTGCTTAGTCTGGAACTAAGAATAAGGCCCAAGGGGACAGTCCTACGGTAAATGGGCAGCAATCTGCCCTGTGCCTGCTGAAACCATAACGGACAATCCACCTGCTCTCTGAAGTCAGGGCCCTGGGGTGCTGGTGCTCATGGCCTACTCTGCCGGTCTCTAACCAGGCAATTGATACTCTTTCTCTGTTCTCATGAAGTGCTCTGCTAAAGAGGCTTCACACTGTCAGTCAATGATTCTTCCGGTCCCCAGAGGCCTTGCTCTGTGTCCCTCCCACACTACTGGTCTGGCACAGAGGGCCTCCTGGGCATGGGCGATCTCCCTGAGTGTGGATCTGTCGCCATCTTCTGCCCAGAGGTGGCACTACCATTTTGAACCTCGGGCTTCAGAGGCATAGGCAGCTTTGGGCAGTTTGGAGTGGAAACCCTGGAGAGCCACTATCCACACACACAATCTAACAAATGGAAGTTCTACTGGTTTGTTTGTTTTTTTTTTTTTTTTTGGTTTTGGTTTTTTGAGACAGGGTTTTATCTGTGTGACCCTGGCTGTCCTGGAACTCACTCTGTAGACGGGGATGGCCTAGAACTCATAGATCCACCTGCCTCTGCCTCCCTAAGTGCTGGGGTTAAATAAAGGCGTGCGTCACTACAACCCAGCCTGGAAGTTCTATTTTTTAGCTGGTCTGAGCATGACAGGCAGAGCCACATCTCAAAGTTCCCTGAAGGAAAAGCACCCCTAAAAGTCAGCCAGATACTTAGGTAAATCATAAACCCCACAAGCTAGAGCTCACCTTAGAGCCTAGCAAGACAAAAGAGTTCATTCCTTTCATAGCTTCTCTTTGTCCCCAGTGAGTTGATGTGCTATGCACAAAGTGGGGGAAGTTATCCAGATTTGTCTGTCTTACCCTTGGGAGAAATAGTTTCCAGGTGCCTTTTCCGTGGTATTAAACTCTAAAGGAGTGCGCTGGCGACCCCAAAATTGTAAAATGTCTCTACCAGATTCCTGCAGAGAGGGGAGGTAGGGCCACAGCTCTGGGCAATTGTCCATACATCATGCAAACACTAGTTACAGTGTCATAGGATCCATGATGGAACCAGACAGACAGTGAAGGCTGCCCCTGGAGACGCAGCTTGTGAAAAGATTGCTTTTGATAGCAGAGTGCCAGCCCTGAGAGACATGTGACTGAGGGAGTCTGAGGAGAGCCATGGGATCAGGGGAAGGTGACCAGTCCGTGCTGGACGCGGAGGATGGGAAGGGTGCCACAGATGTGTGCAGTCTTCCTCACAGCTACACTTCTGCATTTCCTTACATAGCTGTTTACTGGGCTTCTCCCCTGCAGGCCCCCAAGGACAAGGACACTGTCTCTTGATGCGTGACACTGCAGCTTTTGTGTTCAGGATATTGCCTGTCGCTTGGATCAGTGCCCAGTAAGCATTCATTTGATGAGTGGCTGACTCGTATTGTTGACAGATAAATTTAAACCCATATCTCAAGAAATGTCTGTCAGGGGCTGGTGAGGTGGCTCAGCAGTTAAGAGCATGGACTGTTCTTCCAGAGGACCCGGGTTCAATTCCCAGCACCCACATAGCAGCTCACAACTGTCTGTGACTCTAGTTCTAGGGGATCTGATATCTTCACCCCAATGCACATAAAATAAGGGTTAAATAAATTATTTCTTTAAATATATATATTTATGTATGTATAAAGAAATGTCTGTCAAGCACGATACATACCAGGCCCTGCCCAGATGGGCATTTCCACCTGACAAAAATCCTCTGAGGTCACTAGTCATCATTGCGCTGAAAACCCTAAAGTTAACAGGATGTGACCAACCCCTCACGGGGACAGTTTGTGGAGCCTAGTACCTCTGTTCTAATACCAAGACCATTCCCTGAGGATCCCCACCACCACCCTGATACTAACACCATGACAGACAGCCTTTTCACCCCGCAGACTAAATACACTGGCACACTTATCCTATCATGAGGCGCACACAGGCAAGGGTAGGTTGATGTCCCCTGACTGCATTCGCCAGATCTGTGACACCTGGTAGCAGTTACTTTTCCTCTATGTGCCTAAGTTTCCTTGTTTTAGAAATAAGAATGCCAACAGTTCTTTAGGAAAGTGGGGATGTGAAATGTGATATTTCTAAGAGTGGCCAGCAAACTGCCAAGCAACTGAATGTTAAAAACAGTGCCATTCTCCAGGGCCACCGCTGGCCTCTTCCTTAGGCTACTGTGCCTCCTCATCCAGCCAGCTGACAGCTGGCCATTAAATACATCTCAAGCTTGTTCACGGAACTGCTTGTGACTTTACATCCCCGCTTCTCCGAGACGGTCCCAATCAGAGCTCCTGAGACCTGACGTAGAGCCACAGCGTGCCCAGGCCCTTGCCCAGCAAGCCCTGCCCATCTAACTTCTCTGGGACAGAACCACAGCCTGCCCAGGCCCCAGCCCAGCAAGCCCTGCCCATCTAACTTCCCTGGGACAGAAGCCACTAGAGCAAAGGCAAGGAGTTCTATACTTGTCTGCTCTTCCCGCCAGAGTTTCCTCTCTGGAGAAGGCATGTCGGCTCTAACTCCTCCGTAAGATCAACAGCTGGGGCAGCAGCTGGAGAGGAATGGCACACTCCTGAGCATCCCTAAGCTTCAGCCTCCTCATGGAGCCTACAGCCCCTGGCCTCCCCAGCACGTAGGGAGGAAGCTGTGGGGGAGGGGGATTCTCGGCACCACTCACCACACAGATGGAAATGTTCTTCAGCAGAGTGTGTGCCAATCAAATATTTATAAATCTAGCCACATCCTAAAGGCACCAGGGGACTTTGCTGGCCCAAAGGATCTTACTGCATTGCCCGGGATCCAGGCCGACCACACTGCAGTGAAACCCCTCCTTGTATACTGTCTGGGGGCAGTCCAGACTTCCGTTGTCTGGTCTGATGGGAGCCCACATTTAATGATAAAA